GGGTCACAGCGGGGTTCAAGGGGTTTGCGGGACCCCCCCTTCCTTCCCGGCTGCGGGACCACCGGCTCTGCTCCCGGGGCACGGGGGGGCTTTCTCCTCTGATGGATTTCAGCACAACAGCCCCCGGTCCCACCTGGGTTTGTGTCCCAGCAGAGCGTCTCCTGAAGGTGTTTAATGTTTCCTGGGGTTAAAAATGAGTTTATCGAAGGGTGTCCTAAGGAAAGGGTGACACAAAAGCCACCCAGAAGTGACCACAGGGTTCTGCTTTTGACCAGCATCCGGTCAAGCAAAGGAACAAAGGAAAGGAGCACGTTTAAAATTTCGGTGAAGCCCCGGAGTCCCTCAGCTCCTGCTTGTGCTGGTGAGCTGTGATGCACGGGGTGATGCACGGGGGCTGTACTTGTACTCTTGTACACTGTTCTTGAACTCCTCCATCTGCATCCATCTATTTTCTGTGTTACCTAAAGGTTATTTTAAATCCCGTTTTCCCATCAGATGGTAACGGAGCCGGGGACGGGCAGGTTTGGCCAATGATGCCGAGGGCTCTGAGCTCCCAGCCTGGGGCAGCTCGATGCAGAGCCCCAAGCCAGCTCTAGAAACAGCCTAATTAGAGGCTATGCCAGGGCTAATTAGCCATGCTGCAAGCTCGTAGTAGCCCTGGCACAGTGCTGTGCTAACGTGGCTGCTCCTGGCCGAGGCCGGGCTCTGGGCTTTAGCTCAGTTACTCGCTAATCCCGGTGTTGGGAAACAGCTTTTGTGTTACCCTGGGACTGAAACAAGCCTTTTCTCCCTCACTTTGCAGAGAACTTGCACACAAGTAAACTCAGCTCATTCCTGGTGCCTGCCAGCAGAAGCAGAGGCCGGAGTGAGTGACACCCCTCGTTACAGTGTCCTGGACCCTCTGTCCCTCATCCCCAACGGGATGCGCTTCGGTGGGAGCAGCAGTGGGAGATTAAACCATTTGTCAGAGATTTTGGACAAGTCGGTGACGGAGCTGGAGTTGAGGTTTGCTCTCTACAACTCCCTGAAAGGAGGGTGTAGAGAGGTGGGGGTCGGTCTCTTTTCTCAAGTCACAGGCGACAGGACAAGAGGAAATGGCCTCAAGTTGCGCCAGGGGAGGTTCAGGCTGGATATTAGGAAAAATTTTTTCCCTGAAAGGGTTATCAGGCATTGGACTGGGCTGCCCAGGGAGGTGGTTGAGGCCCCATCCCTGGAGGTGTTCAAAAGACGGGTTGATGCAGTGCTGGGAGGTATGGTTTAGTGATGATGCTCCTTGTTTGTTGTGTGGGTGTCTATTTTTGTCAGTTAGGTTGATGGGTGGACCAGATGATCTTTAAGGTCCCTTCGAACCTAGAAGATTCTGTGATTCTGTGATTCTGTGCCCGTCCTGCTGCCCTGGCCGTGCCAGCTCTTGGCCAAATCCCAATTGCACCAGCCCTTTTGGGACTGAGGAATCTCTCCAACGATCCCATCTCCTCCGTAGCTGCTCTCCCAGCCCCCGGCAGAACCCCGAGTTCAAGCATCCGTGGCATTTTCTTCGGGTGGTACCAGTGTTTAAGGTCAAAAGCCACCCCCCCCTTGCTGGCAGGTCACGGTGGCCCCGGGGGGTGAATAAGGAGCCCGTTGTGTGGTGGCAGGAGGATGCTCCGGGTGCTGGCAGCGCTCCCGTGCCCGCGGGCTGGGCGGCAGCAGCAACAGCAGCATCTGCTCTGCCCCACCACGGCCCCGGGTCCAGCAACAAAGGACAGATTGATGGATCCGAGCGCGGCTCCACGGGCTGAGACACTGGGGCATTATGGAGCTGGCTGAGGCAGCCTGGGGGTGAGGACCACCTTGTGCTGTGCCCAGGGACCACCTTCGCTCACAGGACGCTGCCGGGGGCTCCTGGGATTCATTCCCATGGAGTTCTGCAGCCAAGAAACTGGAGAAACCTCTGGGTGTCCTTCAGAGCGACCCCACAGAGACCAACAGCCTCCTCTAGCCCAGCTCCTCCGCAACGTCCAAGTTAACAGGGATTTTTGCCTTTTATTTTTTTTCCTCTGAAAGTGTTTTAAATCGAAATCAAGTTTTGAGTGGGTTATGGTGGAGCTGAGGGGAAGCAAGCCGTGTTGCAGCTCTGCTGCCCTTTGCTCCCCCATTTGTACAAATCACCAGACAAACTGCCTTTGGCTGCGTTAGACCTTCCCCGTGGCCAGTGGGTGGATAGAACATTTTGAGGGCTGCAGACACCCAGCCTCCTACCCCCCTTTTTCATTTAGCTGGGGAAATAAGCAGTGTCAAGCTGCTGCGTCAGTGTGGCTTCAATTCACAGGAGAACTCATTTGATTCGAAGCAGTTTATGTTATTAAATATGACTGCAGAGGTGCCCCCGCGGGATAACCTGTGTGATAAATGATGTTGGAAATGAGGGAGACCCGGCTCTGGCTGCCTCACACACCGGTCCCAGTCAGTCTGCGGGAAGGGGAAAGGCCCAGCGTGATGATGGAGCAAAGGGCAGAGCCTGGGATTTGAGGAAGAGGCAGCTGAACCTGCACCAGGACCAGCCCCAGGTGGTAGAGCAGAGACTGAGCTGGAGCATCTCATAGAATCATAGAATCACAGAATGGTTTGGGTTGGAAGGGACCTCAAAGATCATCGAGTTCCAACCCCCCTGCCCTGGGCAGGGACACCTCCCACCAGACCAGGTTGCTCAAGGCCCCATCCAGCCTGGCCTTGAACCCCTCCAGGGATGGGGCATCCACAACTTCCCTGGGCAACCTGTTCCAGTGTCTCACCACCCTCAGAGTAAAAAATTTCTTCCTGAGATCTAATCTGAATCTTTTTTCTTCCAGTTTAAAACCATTTCCCCTTGTCCTATCACTACACCTCCTGGCAAAGAGTCCCTCCCCAGCTCTTCTATAGGCACCCTTCAGATATTGAAAGGCCGCTATAAGGTCTCCCCGGAGCCTTCTCTTCTCCAGGCTGAACAACCCCAGCTCCCTCAGCCTGTCTCCATAGCAGAGGTGCTCCATCCCTCTGATCATCTTCGTGGCCCTCCGCTGGACCTGTTCCAGCTGGTCCATGTCCTTTCTGTGTTGAGGACTCCAAAGCTGGACACAGGACTCCAGGTGGGGTCTCATGAGTGC